GTCAGTCTCCAGTGAGTCATGCTGGCTCAGCCTCAGGACAAGGACCCCCTTCTAGATGTAGATGCCCAGTAACCAGTGGCTGAACTGACCCCAGACTCACCCCAGCCTGTGCTGAGGGCAAGGATTCTGCCTCTAGAGTCACAGGAGTCTGTGCTCAAGTCTCAATACAGAGCGATCGCCTTAGACCTTCAGAAAGTTCCATATCCCAGTTAGACCTGCATTCTCCTCCTATTGCTGGAAATGAGAGACAGACCTGATCCCAGGATGCTGGTCAGATAGCCGGTTTCCCTGCTCTGAAAAGCTCACAGCGAAGGTGTGTCTCTACCCTCGCTCCGCTAAACATGATTTAATCTTTGGGTTGGTCGTGTTCTCTTTATGCTCTTAGCATAAGAGTTTGCATGAGGGCACAGAGAGTGACCAGGGAGACATAGAAACAGGAGTGGGACCAGAAAGAAGGCTCAGCCTGTAAAAGCTCTTACAGCATGAGTCTCCTGGTCTGAGCTCCACCCCTCCCCCATTTCATGGTACAAGGAAAGAACCAGCTCCTGAAGGTTGTCTTTGGCTGGATCTCCAAATGGGTGGTGAGGCAGCAGATGCAAACACATCTCCACTCACACACACACACACACACACACACACACACACACACACACACACGCCGGGAGGCAGGTGGATTTCTGAGTTCGAGGCCAGCCTGGTCTACAGAGTGAGTTCCAGGACAGCCAGGACTACACAGAGAAACCCTGTCTTGAAAAAAACCAAAAAAAAAAAAAAAAGAAAGAAAGAAAGAAAGAAAGAAAGAAAGAAAGAAAGAAAAGAAAAGGAACAAGGCAGAGTTAATAAGTAAAATTATTTGGGCTTGTGGTGGTGCACACCTCTAATCTCAGTACTTAGGAGGCAGAGGCAATGTACTCTGTGAGTTCAAGGTTAGCCAGTCTACAGAGTGAGTCCTAGGACAGCCAGGGCTACACAGAGAAACCATGTCTGGAAAAAACATACACACACCAAAACCAAAAGGGGTGGGGAGGGGAGGCTATTTGGATGACGAAAGGATGGGGTATTGAGGAGAATATCCCGTGATACTTGGTAGCCTTGGAAGAGGAAAGAGAGAGGCAGGAAAACGGCTTGAGTATTTGAGGTTGTGTGCTGCAGTTAACTAATAGACCATTCATGAAAGGCATCAAAGAGAGAGAGAGGATGGCCCGAGTCCCTGAATCCCCTTGATGAGGTCGTGTGGAGGAAACAAGCCTCTGCGTTTTCGAGAGAGGCCTCCTATGTCAAAGATGTGGGAGGAACTGGAGATGTTCTATAGGCAATGGAAGCCAGGCAGGGAGAGATGGGGGGCTCGGGCCAGGGGCTGGATGTCTGGTGGGAGGTGGAGGGATGAGGAGCTTGTTCAGCCCCAAAGGTTACTCCTCCTGGGAGATTCTCTAGGGCTTGGATGGTGGGGAATGGCTGAGGAGAGGGTGAATGTCCAGGTCACTATTAAGAGTGATTGTCTAGAGCTGGGCGGCGGTGGTGGCACACGCCTTTAATCCCAGCACTTGGGAGGCTGAGGCAGGCGGATTTCTGAGTTCGAGGCCAGCCTGGTCTACAGACTGAGTTCCAGGACAGCCAGGACTACACAGAGAAACCCTGTCTCGAAAACAAACAAACAAACAAAGAGTGATTGTCTAGTTCAAGTTCCAAATGCTATCAGAGCAGGTTGGCCTGGATTGTAGATTCCGAGAACAATCTGAAGATGGGTAGACATAGATCTATACATTTTTTCAATTTATTTATTTATTTATTTATTTATTTATTTATTTATTTATTTAGTTTTTCGAGACAGGGTTTCTCTGTATAGCCCAGGCTGTCCTGGAACTCACTCTGTAGACCAGGCTGGCCTCAAACTCAGAAATCCGCCTGCCTCTGCCTCCCAAGTGCTGGGATTAAAGGCATGCGCCACCACTGCCCAGCTCAATTTATTTATTTTCATTTCATGTGCATTGGTGTTTTGCCTGCATGTATGTCTATGTAAGGATGCCAGATCCTCTGGAACTGGAGTTACAGACAGTTGTGAGCTGCCATGTGGGTGCTGAGAATTGAACCTGAATCCTCTGGAAGAGCATCCAGTGCTTCTAGCTGCTGAGTGGTTCACTGAGCCTCCAGACTGTGACCTGAGCTACCTATCTCTCCTTGCCTGGCTTCCATAGCCTCTAGAACACCCCAGTGTCTCCCATGTTGCTGATATAGGAGGCTTCTCTTGCAAGAGCAGAAACATATTTCCTGATCAAGGGGCTTTTGTGAATGACTTATTCATTCATTTGTCCATCCATCCATCCATCCATCCATCCATCCATCCATCATCCATTCATTTGGTGAGATTTAGTCTCCTATAGCCCAAGCTGGACCTGAACTTTTTTTTTTTTGGTTTTTCGAGACAGGGTTTCTCTGTGTAGCCCTGGCTGTCCTGGAACTCAGTCTGTAGACCAGGCTGGTCTCGAACTCAGAAATCCGCCTGCCTCTGCCTCCCAAGTGCTGGGATTAAAGGCATGCACCACCACCGCCCGGCAGCCTTGAACTCTCAAACTCAGAAATCCACCTGCCTCTGCCTCCCAAGTGTTGGGATTAAAGGCGTGGAAAGATGGCTCAGTGGTTAAGAGCACTGACTGCTCTTCCAGAGGTCCTGAGTTCAAATCCCAGCAACCACATGGTGGCTCACAACCATCTGTATTGAGATTTGATGCCCTCTTCTGGTGTGTCTGAAGACAGCTACAGTGTACTCATAAGTAAAATAAATAAATCTTTAAAAATAAAAAGAAATAAAATAAAGGCGTGCGCCACCACTGGACCTGAATTTACTATGTAGCTGAGAATGATCTTGACCTCCTGACTATCCTGCCTCTCCTCTCAGGTGCTTGGATTAGAGGCGAGTGAGCTACATTCTCCAGCACTAATTTAAAGTATTTTTCTTACTTGTTTCTTTGTTTGTTTGTTTGAGACAGGGGTTCTCTGCTGTTCTGGAACTCACTCTGTGGACCAGGCTGGTCTAGAACTCAGATATCTGTCTGCTTCTGTCTTTTGAGTGCTGGGATCAAAGTTGCTTGTTGTTGTTTGTTTTTCAAGATAGGGTCTCTATGTAGTCCTGGTTGTTCTGGAACTTGCTCTGTAGACCAGGCTGTCTCTGAACTCAGGAATCAGCCTGTCTCTGTCTCCTAAGTTCTTAAATTGAATTAAATTAAATTAAAAAGCATACACCAGAAAGAAACCTCAAAGCCCCCTCCCAGTGACACACCTCCTCTACCAAGGCCACACCTCCTAATCATTTCCAAACAGTTCCACCAACTGGGGACCATACGTTCAAACATAGGAGCCTATGGAAGCTGTTCTCATTCAAACCACTACAGAAGGCTCAGCAGTTAAGAGGACTGGCTGCTCTTCCAGAGGACTCAGGTTTAGTTCCAAGCACCCATATGGTGGGGCACAGTCATCTGCAACCTCAGTACTGGGGGAGCCTATGCTCTCTTCTGGCTTCTAAGAGCATCAGGCATGCACATAATACAGAAATAGCGGCAGGCAAAACATCCAAACACATTTAAAAAACAAAATAAGCAGAAGAATATGTACAGAGTGAAGGTATACCCAAGCAATATGCCCATTCTTGGTGGGGGGGGGGCACACACACAGTACACATTGTACTGTGACTGTGTGCCTTGGGTACATGTGTGTCTTTTGGGGTGAGGAGTCTGCTGCAATATGCTTTCCAGTAGTATGTGAGAGAGAGCATCAGTTGTATGTGTGACAGAGACAGACAGACAGACAGACAGACAGACAGACACACACACACACACACAGAGAGAGAGAGAGAGAGAGAGAGAGAGAGAGAGAGAGAGAGAGAGAGAGCGCGACTTGTCTATGTGGATGACCCTGACCTGATCTGATGATCTGATTCGGTGCTGTGTCGCTCTGTAATAAGGAGTCACATGGGTGTTCTTGGTCCTGGCACTGGGTGTCCATGAATGGGGATGAGGAGGTTTGGTCCTAAGCTGGGAGCTTTAGAGGCAGGCCTGAGTGGTGACTCCTAGGCTGTTGTCCTGAAAGAATGACCTCTCTGAGCAATAATTAACTTGGCCGGGTGAGAAGGATCCAAACTGTGGAGGTGAGGGGGTGGAGCCTGACCAGGGCAGCAGGAGGTCTGAAAGTCCTAGAGACAACTGGTGTTATCATTTCCTCCCGCTCACCCTTCAGGTCAGTCACCCTGACCCAGGGTGACCGGGTCAGAGTAGTTAACAAACACTGAGGCACCGACATTAACCAATCAAAACAGACCCTAGCCAGGCTCTGAATGGAGCAGGACTGGAGGCTGTGGACTAAGCAAGCACAGCCTCTCTGGTGGCCAGGACAATGGGAATGACCCTTTGAGAGAGGAGGGTCCCAGGACTGGGTCATCAGGGCAGAGGGACAATGGAAGGGATCTCTTGGGCTCAGGACACAGTGTTCTCAGCTATGTGCTAAACCTCTACCTGCGGTTGCTTCCGAGCTGCCTCCAGGGTAGCCCTGGTTCTCTGTTCCCTGGTGCTGGGAAGGCAGTAGACAGGTCTCTTCTGTCAGTTGCAAGAATGGGGGGTAGGGGATCGGAGGATCAGAAATTCTAGAAAGAGAAGTGGCCTTGTTTGCTTTGGGAATGGAGCATTTCTGTGACTAGCTGCAATCCCAATTTCTCTGAGGCGAGAGACTCCCTCTAGAGAACTGTAACCTGGAAGTGGACAATGGACACTCTGGAGACAAGGACAGAAAACACCTCTGCTGGGGAGAAAGGCAGGAAGGTGACAGGGAGTGAGTGAGAGGATGCTTCCTGGTGGCTTCACAGTCAGTTGGAAATAAACCTTATCCCCAGCACTGGTGTCACCATCTCTCCCCAAACCATCTGGTCTCTGGCTCCTTTCCATGAGTTCCCTCCAGGAAGACTAAGGTGCACCCTGAAGATTGGCTGGTCCTTTCCACAAGCAACTACAGTGTCAGCAGGTCATACCTTTTATTACAAAATCCAATAACTTAATTTAGTTCTATACAAAGTGAGGAGAGATTCAGGCCTGAAGTACAGCCTCATGCTCCCATCTCTACCCGGGCAGGGAAAGCAATTTTGGCCCGGAGGTTTTGGGAGCCATCAAGGGCTTGCTGGACTGTTAGTAGTACACACTGCATCTAAACCAAGGAAGTCCAAGCTGTGGGTGTGGCTGGGATGAGGGCTGCTCCAGGGGAGCTGAGTGCTGTCTTTCGGGCTCCCGTTTGGAGGCATCAGACCCCATTCTGCAGGTCACCTCAGCAAAAGCATGTCTTCAAGCAGTTCAGTGATGTCAACATCGCCAATGATAGGGCGGAAGAAGAGATCTACCAGAAGGGTGCATGGAATGTTCTTGAGGGTGGAGGCCATGAGGAGGATTCGGGCCAGGCGGCCTTGGCTAGCTGGGTACCAGGGCTCCAGGACTTCACACAGTGCCCAGTGAGCCTCCTGTTGCAGATGCGCGATGTGGCAGGAGGCATGGAGGCCTGGCATATCTGTGGCAGAGAGGGTGAAGGCTGGTGAGCAGCTAAGTCTGTGGAGGCTAGCCCAGGGTGTGAGAATGTCAGCGGTTCCCTCCCCTCATATGCCGGGGGTGGGGGCAATACAGGGCCTTGTGAAGGCTAGTGCATGCTAGGCAGACATTCTACTGTTGGGCTGTATGTACATTGATGGCCCCTTTAATATGCTAGTCAAGAGTTGTACTAGGAACTACATCCTCAGCCGTTAAAGACAGAGAAGTGAGATGATCGTTTTGTGGTGACAGGAATGGAATCCAGGCCTGTAGCATGTGAGGCAATCCTTCACTATGGCTCACATGCCTTGGCCCCCTCTGCCCCCTTGAGGCTCCACCCACCACCACCTTCATTATTTATTATTTTATTCATCCATCCACTTATGGAAAAGAAGCAGATAATGGGGACATAGTGACTAAGACACACGGGATGGAGAGATGGCTCCGTGGTTAAGAGTGTTGACTGCTCTTGCTGAGGACCTGGGTTCAGTTCCCAGCACTCACATTGTGGTTTACAACTCCCTATAACTCCAGTTCCAGGGGATCTGACACTCTCTGCTGATATCTTTGTGACATCTCCCACACAGATGATGCACACATAATAGATACATATATACATGTATGTATGTAAGAACTCATAGACATAAAAGAATTTATTAATACATCTTTTACATTTTATTTTTCATTTGCTTTTTTTTGAGACAGGATTTCTGTGTGTAGCCCTAACTGTCTTTGAACTAGTTCTCTGGCTGGCCTTGCTCAGAGATCCGAGTGCCTTTGCCTACCAATGCTGGGATTAAAGGTATGTGCTACCACTACCTGGCTAAATAAATCTTTCTTTTTTTTTTCTTTTTTGGTTTTTCCAGACAGGGTTTCTCTGTGTAGTCCTGGCTGTCCTGGAACTCACTCTGTAGACCAGGCTGTCCTTGAACTCAGAAATCGCCTGCCTCTGCCTCCCAAGTGCAGGGATTAAAGGCGTGCCCCACCACTGCCCGGCCTAAATAAATCTTAAAAGCAAAAAACAAAAACAAAACCAAAACAAAAAATCCCAAACAAACAAACAAAAAAACCAACCAAAAAAAAAAAAAAGCCAAAAACCAACCAACCAAACAAACAAAAAAACCCCAAAAAAACAGAACCAGGCTGCCTGGGTTTGAATCTCAGTGCTGACACTGACATTTATTAGCCGAGTGACCTTGGATACATAGTTTAATCTTTCTGAGTGACCTTTATTAAAAGAGTACTTTAATCTCTGTGCTTCCCTTTCTTCGTCTGTCGAGTAGGGCTGATGACAGTACCTGTCACTCACAGTTGTTGCAACGTTTAACCAAACCGGTATTTGTAAAGCCCTTAGACTGAGTGCTAACATATGGCAGGTACAATGGGACTATTTAGGACTGCTACATGACATTACACTTTAACTGTCAAGGCCTGTCTCTTCTCTCCCTCAAAGCTATGAAGAATATCCTCCCATTCCAGGCCAACTTGGTCTACACAGTGAGTTCTGGGCCAGCCAGGGTGACATGGGGAGACTCTCTCAGTTCTCCCCGTCCATCAACCCTATCTCTTCTCCTGACTTGACTTCATAAGGGGTGCCCCACTCCCATACTCTCGTTCTCCTCTCTGTGGCCTCTCTGAACCCACAGAGGACATTAACCTTTAGAACCTCACTAAGTAGCCTGGCCTTGAAGATACGGCTGCCATGCAGCTGTGTCTACCCCCACTCCCACTCCCTACCCTCCCACGCTCCCTAAGATTCAGGCCAAATTTCTCAGGCACCGTGGAAAAGAGTAATCTCTGCATTTGCTTGGTCTCCCCTCCCAGCCCTCCTCTGCCTCCTCCTTGCTATGTGACCTTCAGATAGTTGCTTAACCTCTCTGTGCCTCTCCTATGAGCTATTTGAGGCTAACAAGGACCCAATGATATAATGGGTGTCAAGCCCCAAGAAAGCACTTTCCCTGAATGGGCCCCGTCCCTCCCACCTTGGCCACCATCCAGGTGTGTCTGTAAGCTCACCTGGGTTGAAGAGGATAGTGCCCTTCAGGTATGCATACTCCTTGGGACCCAGCTCAAGGGTCCAGAAAGACTCCAGGCAACGCTGCAGCCACTGTACAGCAGCCAGTGAGGGCTGTGGCGGGTCTGGAGGCTGGGCACCCTGGGCACCACTGCTGGGTTCCTCTAGCAGAATCTTTTTAAGTATACTGGGCACCGGAGCCTCAGCCACCTCAAAGGTCACAGTATCCTGGGCCAACCCAAGCAGGAAGAGAGGGCCCCAGCAGCCCTCGAGCAGCCGTCGCTGATCCTCAAGGGGCAGGTGGCAGAAGGATGGCAGGTTCCTGAGAAAGGCTACTGTCTTGGCTAGGACATCCAAGGCCTCCCTGCAGGTGCGGTGTGGAGCACACAGACGCACAGGCCGGTGCTGCTGGCACAGGCAGTGGCTGCGAGACACAGGCGCAGTAGGCCTGGTCCTGGGGCTTGGGCTCAGAAGTGCGTACAGAATAGTTGGGCGGCCTGCAGAGCCCTGGCATGGGCAGACCCCTGACTGGCTGGAGCTCATGGTTGGTATCTTGTTCCTGTTTCTTTCCAGCTATCTGGCCCTCTCTACTGCGAGTGCTATTTATATCCTTGATGGGCGGGAGGAGGACTGGCCAAACAACCTTGACTCCAGAAGTTATGTTCATTGAAAGAAAAAAAAAAAAAACATACACACACAATGCATACACGATGACCCTGGCAGGACTGGTGGGGAAGTGGTGGGGGAGGGGCACTGGAAGCTCCACGTGGCCTTGCTATCACTTTAGTCAATGAAGTGGCTATTGCAGAGCACAGGGCCACCTGCCCACTGCCTGGATGCCCTTTATCAGATGACTCAAGTGTATAAACAGGGTCATTAACCCAGGCTGTACCAGGGTGCCAAGGTCTCAGGCGTTCAACCTGGGACTGCTGTTTCTATTGGTGCTCATTTTCAGGCACACAAGACCAGGGTTCTCACTGAGCCAAGAAGCCAGCCCGGGAGCTGGCCAAAGCCTTGAATACATGACCCAGCCTGGAAGTGACTTATCGCTGCTGTGTTTGCTTTACCTTGGGGTTCTGCTCCTGTCGTCCTTCTGTAAGGAACAGGCTGCAGGGAAGGGAGCCAGGTCTCAGAGGGACTTTGCTCACTGTGCAGTCTAGGAGTCTGCTCTCCTGTGTCTCCAGTATAGGGACCCCTTTGGGAGGAAGACCATTCAGAGCCCCTGTTCCCAGCCTGCATTCTTATAGCTTCAGAGATGCTGGATCTGCCTTTGCAAAACCGTGGGAATACATGACTGACATTATTAAGGACCACACTTGTTGTGGGTCACTTTCCAGACTTTCCAGTGAGACTACATTCTTACTCTGTGACACTCCAAGAGGTGAAGTGACCTACTCAAAGTCACTCCAACTGGAAGGGACAGAGCACAGGTGTGTCTGACCTCAAAGTCATCTTTGTTTGTCCCCCTGGATCAATTGTGCAGCCTAAGTGTGAGTTTCCCAGAACTGGTGGCTAACAGGCACCCTGCCCCCCACCAACACCTGGTCTGCAGGTATGGCCCACTTATGGAATGGGCAGAAACATATCTCTGCTAGCACATGGCTTCTCTGTCCTGAACATGTCTCAAGTGGTCAGAGGTGAGGGACAAGGGACAGACATGGGAGGCCCTCAGTTGTGTCCGGTTCCCGACCTTGGCTAGCCTTGCCTAGCAAGCTCCCTGTTGCCACATTCTTGGGCAACCTGGTACTGTGGATAAAGAGAAGGTTGGCACCCTCTGCTCTGGCATCTGGTTTAGGTTCCATGCTTCCCAGTCCCAGTGTGACTGTCAGCTCCTCTCCAGTGTTCAGGGAGTCTCTCTCTCTCTCTCTCTCTCTCTCTCTCTCTCTCTCTCTCTCTCTCTCTCTCTCTTTAAATTTTGTTTGTTCCAGACAGGATTTCTCTGTGTAGTTCCGGCTGTCCTAAGAAACTTCTCTGTAGATCAGGTTGACCTTGAATTTATAGAAATCCACCTGTCTCTGCGTTCCTAGTACTTGGGTTAAAGGCCTGTGCCACCCCCAGCCCCAGCTGAGCCTTGATGTCTTCCTGTGGTGCTGATTTGAGGACAGAGCAAAGTCCTGACTAGACTATGAGACTCTCTTCATCCCCAAAGACCAGCAGGCACACTGCTTTCTCTATAGTGGTGTATACCCTCAGCTCAGGCCTCTGTTGGGAAAGAGGAGGCTATCAGGGACTGAAAGGAACAGTTACGGTGAGAGAAAAACGCAACCACACACAGACTACTGGAGCTCAGTGCGGTGGTCCATGCAGGGGTCCTAGAGATTATATTCAGGTCTCACCTCTTCCCGAGGACTGTCATGGGAAGGATGATGCTTTGTTCTTCCTCTTATTGTTGTTTGTTTTGTGCTGTTGTCTCACTTGTAGCCCAGGCTAACCTCGAATTTGCACTGTGTTGTCTCAACCTCCCAAGTGCTAGGATTGCAAGTCTGAGATACCCCACCTGCTTGCTGGAGGCTGCTGCTGCTGCTTTTAATTTATTGGATATGATGACAAAATGTAAAAATAAAAAATAGATTTGTGTGTGTGAGTGTGAAGTGGAGTTAGTTCCACCTTCCACCTTTTTGTGGGTTCCAGGGATCAAACCCTGGTATCCAGGCTTGTCCAGGAGAAGTGCCTTTGTCTGCTGACCCATGTCTCTCACTCACATTTTACAAATTCATTTATTTGCTTTGGGTTTTGAGACAGGGTTTCATGTATTCCAGCCTCTCCTTGAGAACGCTGTGTAGCCAAGGGTGACCTTTAAGTCTTGGATCCTGCTGCCTTCTCCTCCCAAGTGCTGAGATAGCAGGTGTGGGCCACAACACTTTGTTCATAGTCCTTCTTGTCCTCTCTCTCTCCTTTTTCTTTTTCCTCCTCCTCTTCCTCTGATTTTTGCAACATTATTTTGTTGTGTTAGATAAGTACTCAGCTGTACCATCCCCACGTCAATCAATTTCTTTTTAGATTTTTCGGATGTTTTATCTGCATATATATACATATATATGTATGTATGTTTGCATGTATGTGCAGCAAGTACATGCCTGGTGCCCAAGGAGTTCAGAAGAAGGCTCCAGAAGCCTTGGAACTGGAGTTATGTATGATTATAAGCCACCCTGTGAGTGCTGGGAACCATACCTGGGTCCTGGAACCAAACCTGTCTTACTCAGGCTGGTCTTAATCTCTCTCCTAGGCTAGGCAGGCTTTGAAATTGAGATCCTTCTTCCCAATCTCTAAATTATATCAGTTGTAAGATTTTATCCCCTAGCTACTTGGTAGTGGTGGTGGGTTGTTTTTTGTTTCTGTTTTCCTTTCTTTCTTTCTTTCTTTCTTTCTTTCTTTCTTTCTTTCTTTCTTTCTTTCTTTCTTTTAAAAGATTTATTGATTTATTATATATACAGTATTCTGCCTGTATGTATACTGCAGGCCCGAAGAGGGCATTGCAGATGGTTGTGAGCCACCATATGGAATAGGTGGAATTCCTGGGAATTGAACTCAGGACCTCTGGAAGAGCAGCCAATGCTCATAACCTCTGAGCCATGTCTCCAGCCCTTAGCTTTTCTTTTCAGAGACAGGATTTTACTATGTAAATTTGTGTGCTGGCTACTTTTATGTCAGCTTGATACAAACTATGTCATTTGACAGGAGGGAATCTCAATTAAGAAACCACCTCTATAAAATCAGGTTGTAAACAAGTCAGTAAGGAATTTTCTTAATTAGTGATTGATGGGGGAGGCCCAGCCCATAGTGGGTGGAGCCATCTCTAGGCTAGTAGGCCTGGGTTCTACAAGGAAGAAAGCTGAGATGATGAGCCAGCCAGTAAGCCGCACTCTTCTATGGCCTCTGCATTAGCTCCTGCCTCCAGGTTCCTGTGCTGTCTCATTTGAGTTCCTGTCCTGACTTTTTTCCAACTTTAATTTGGAAGTGTAAAACAAATAAACCTGGGGCTGGAGAGATAGCTTAGTGGTTAAGAGCACTGACTGCTCTTCCAGAGGTCCTGAGTTCAATTCCCAGCAACCACATGGTGGCTCACAGCCATCTGTAATGGGATCCGATGCCCTCTTCTGGTGTGTCTGAAGACAGCTACAGTGTACACATTATTTAAGTAAAATAAAAACAAAATATTTTTTTGAGAGGTTTCTCTGTCTAGTCCTGGCTGTCCTGGAACTCACTCTATAGACCATGGTGGACTCGAACTCAGAACTCTGCCTGTCTCTGCCTCCCAAATGCTGGGATTAAAGGTGTGCACCGCCACTGCCCGGCTAAAACAAGATATTTTATTAAAACAACAACAACAACAACAAATAAACCCTTTCTTCCCAACTTGCTTTTGGTCACGGTGCTTTGTCACCCAGGTAGCCTAGGGAGTGGCACCATTAGGAGGTGGGGCCTTATTGGAGTAGGTGTGGCTTTGTTGGAATAAGTGTAGCCCTGTTGGAGAAAATGTGTCATTGTGGGGGTGGGCTCTGAGACCTTCCTCCTAGCTTCCTGAAAGTCAGTCTTCTAGCTGCCTTCAGAATAAGATGTAGAACTCTCAGCTCCTCCAGCACCATGTTTGCCTGGATGCCGCCATGCTTCCCGCCATGATGATAACGGACTGAACCTTTGAACCTGTAAGTCAGTCCTAATTAAATGTTGTCCTTTATAAGAGTTGCTGTGGTCATGGTGTCTGTTTAATGCAAAGAAACCTTAATCAATACAATCATATTAATAGTAATCCTAAGTAAAACCTCTGTCTCCTAAGTGCTCTGGTTAAAGGTATGTGCCACTGTGCCTGATTTTTTTTTTTTTTTAAAGACATTTATAGCTGTGTGCATACAGACATCAGAGGCTAACTTCTGGGAGTTGATGCTTTTTTTCCACCTGGGGATTGAACTTGTATCTGTAGGACTTTTAGTTCTAAATGTAGGATTTTTGGTCTCGGTTTGAATTTAAGATTAAAAGAATCCCACTGTCCCAGGACACATCCCAGGAGGGGCACATTCCTTAGTCAGAGGACACTTGCTGGATTAACATTCAGAAGAGGAAGGGAGAGGCTGATTAACATTTCTCAGACCCCGGAGGAGGGAACCCACCTGCAGGTGAGGAAGAAACAGAGCAAGTAGACAAGGGAGGTCCTTGCCACCTCCCAAAGACCAATCAGTTTAAAAGTCACACTGTTCTGCCAATCATATTGTGCCTAGTCACTGTTTCTCTATTCTACCCCTTAAACTGTATAAAAACCATTCTTAGCTCCAACTCGGGGTTCTCTTCTTGCTTGCATGCGAGAGAACCCCAGTATACTGGAATCACTAAACCTCATGTTAATTGCAGCGCGTCCCGTCTGTGAGTTTCTGTGGGAGCACGTCCCCTGGTTCTGGATCTTAGAATCCAACACATCATCAGAGTTGGCAACAAGTGCCTTTACTTGCTGAGCTATCTCAGTGGTCCAGTGTCTGCATTTACATGGCTTTGAATTTACACCATCCTATAGAGTAGCTCACAAAGTATGACTCTCATCTGTACTGGTGATCAGATGACCATTGTCACCAATCTGGCAACTAGGAGCCCAGTGGA